TGTTCCTTTACAAAAGTATAAATCCACATCTTGTGGATACAAATCTCTGACATTCTTTTAAGAGTCTAGCATCCTTTCTCTGAATCACCTGTGACTAACCAATCACCTTACTGTTTCTTTGTTGCTTTGGAGTGTTTTCACATTTTTAGGGTCACTGTCTAAGTGTTGAACATCACTGTTTCTAAATTTCCACATCTCTGGGTATGGCCAAACTGCTGAACAAGCACTCGTCTGGGCAATATAAAACATGAAAATAATAGTGTTATATAGTTTCCTCGTCACAAAGCAGAAATTTCTAATTAGATTCTACAATACTGTGTGTGAAAGGAGCAATATTTCTCTTGCCAGGCATTATCTTAATCTCAGAGCAAATAATTTCCAAACATCCCTAATTCCTGATATTGATAATCCATCATTTTTTCAGAGTATCCAATAGAGGCCCAGTTAGGATCAAGTGAATCATTGTTAATGTAGTGATGCTTTCTTCTCTTCTGACATTTCTGTTACTGATAGGCAATATCCCAGTTGCTTCCACTTCTTCAAATTCTGCGAACCAGTTGCACTTATTTGCCTACACTCAATTGAAGGATTATGATGCCCTGCCTCTGAGCATGAGGCCTGGCTTGAGAAAAACTTCTTGAACAAAAACTGAATTTAATTATTCTGATTCCAATTCACATAAAAGATCCAAACTCGTTCATCTCTCAAAATTCTTTATCCCCTCATTCACTCTTTCAGTTTTGCAAGTTCATCCAAGTCCATCTAGCCCTTGATTGCCCACCACACACTGCCATCCTGCCCATGAAACTGATATGCCAATTGATATTCTGATTCACTCTTTGGTCATGAACAACTTGGGAACACTCTTCTAATAGTAACTTATTCTGTAGAGCTCAGTCTTCATGTCACCGTTTTGCTTTGGAGAGTCACAAGTTCAGTTCCCTGAGTTTGATGCCTATAACATCCAAAAGGTGGCACTGAAAAAAAAAACAAATTAATAAACAAACTAACAAAACACTAATAATCTAAAATTGCAAAGCAAATCTCAAAGAATTGGTTCCAAAATGGATACCAAGTATACTATAATTTCTAGATTCAAACCTAACATGAAAATTCAAGTTCAGCACTCACTTAATTAATATGGAAACTGAATACCCAAAGAAGTTCTCTGTGTTTGGATCAGTCTGAATTTCAGCTGCCCATATTAATTATATGGAAAATATTTTATGCCTGCACTCTTGGAATGGACCCACCATATGACCCAGCTATCTCATTCCTTAGTATCTATCCATGAATTACAATAATAATAACCAAGTTATGAAACCAGCTTAGGTATCTATTGATATACTATTGAATACATAAAATATGGTGTATGCACACGATTTTATTTGGTCAAAAGAAGAGTGAAATTATGTCATTGGCTGGTAAATGGATTGCATGGAATTGGAGAACATCATGCTAACTGAAATAAGCCAGACTCAGAGAGTGAAGGGTTAAATGTTTTCTCTTATATGCAAAAGCTAAGAAGAAATAATGAATTAAAAATGGGGGGAGGAGCTCATGAAAATGGAATGAGAACAGTGAAGTAGAAGGGAAATGATGTAGAGGGAGAAGGAATGGGAAAGGGGAGGAACAGCAGAATGAAATTAAGCAAACAATGCCATGTGCATGTATTAACATTATCACAAGGAATTCCCCTTGATCATACTCTATATTTTTTGTATAAATTTAAAAAAATAATAAATGGGTACATGACATATTATTTAGGAATGCTTCCTTTGTGAAATCCTGTCCACTTGTTCCCATGGGGAGATAGTTTGGATACCTGAGGAACTTCCTTCCTTACTAGAAAGACCAGCATTTTGCTTTCTTTCCCCTGATTACCTTCCTTGTGTCTTAGTTTTCCGAAACCATAAAAATGCCTTCTAATTTGCAGTCACTCTCATTCTCAAACTTTCATACTAAAGTTGCAGCCCCATAAAGGAAAAGAAAAGGAGAGTGAATACTAGGAAGAGAAAGAGAAAAAGAGAGGAAAGATGAAGTACAAACAAAGGAAATTGGTATACAGTTATTTATTTTGATATATTCTTCATTTGAGATGGATCAATTCACTTCAGAGATTTGAGCGATATGTGAGTAGATGGCCAAAAAACACCATCCAAGTGTGAATAAGTTTACCTTTTTCCATTACTTTAATTTTATATTTTACAATAATGGGCTAAAAGGGTACTGCATAATAGAAAAAGCAGGTGTCATTAATTTTTAAGTGGAACTTCCTAGACCTAGTTTGACAAACATATCTACTATCAAGTTCCAAAGTTCCAAATGAACCTTTATTCTCTTCCTATCAATACATGACTTTGGGTCATTTGTTACTGGGAAGTCCAAAGCTCTTCAGTATGTATTTACTTAGTTTTCTATTCCTCCCACTTAAGCTTAGTTTGGTGTCTTGATAGCATTTTTTCTCTCTCTTCTATGGCTCATATGTGATTGATTCTGGTCCTTCCTTCACTCACCACAGTCCTGCTAATCTCTTTCTTTAATTTTCACTTTATTTTGTTTTCTTAATATTTAACTATAAGGGCAATTTAGACTCATATAACCTAATTTGAACTTAGTACAACATGAGTAAGTATAGTGTGATCACTCAACTTGTAATCACTACAATGGTGGAACAAAACACCAAGTGATATTTCTGTCCAAGATTTAGGAACTGTAGTTCTCAATATGAAACTTAAAAATGAAAATAATGTAACTTGAATCTCTAAAAATTCTTATGATTTGCAGAGATCAGAACAATATAAGATCTATTGAAAGAGCTTGCATCCTTCTAATCCCTTCTCCTACTTTGAGAAAATAGTGAATAAATTAGTAGAAGAAACAATCATGAAATGGACCCTATTCAAACATGCCCACTGTTCTGCCTCAAGGTGTGTCATTAGAAGCATCCAACTGAATGGCATCAAATAAATTCTCAAATGGATGAAAGGAGAGCGGTTATGGAGTGAGTAACCATAAGAAAAGTCTGGTAGATGAATCTCAATAAAATAAAATAAACCATGAAATTAGGGTTCAGTTTGTAGCAGGATATTAAGTTATTGAGAAATAACTTCCAGTTCATCTGGAAGAATCAAAAACAATCTATGTTAATCTCCCCTTAAGATGTACCCTGAATTTAGCATTCAAAATCATATATTAGAAACAGTATAGGCATAAGGGAAGTATATTTAGCAGTAATTACTAAGATCTATTGCATTCTTATAATATGAGTAATACTTTTAAAAATAATTTTAGTGTATTAAGTCATCTCAAGTTACCTTGTGAGTAAGTATCATTGACTTTGTGTTATAAATAAGCAAACGGAAAGAGAGGAGTTAACTAAATTGTTCAAACTATTTTAGCTAGGAAGAGAAGACTTGAAATTCTTCAAGTTCTTCTTGGCCATTGCCCAAACCCCTTTTATCCCAGTCCTTGCTTCTAAACAGAACACTCTGCAGTTGCAGGTCCTCTGCATTTGGATTACTGAGGTCCTGCTTTTTTCATGGCTTGATTGTTTTGAATCCTGGCCAATGCACATGACCAATGAGAATCAAAAACCTGGTGGATCTCACTGAAGACCTGAAAAAGGAAGGTGTTCCAATTACCATCTTCACTATCAAGAGGAACTTGGGTCTTTTCAGCAAGCTCTCCACTTGTTTGCATTAAAGCAAGACAAGTTTCTTACTTCACCATCTTTCCTAAAAATACTTCAGCTGAAATCAGAGGCTGAGTTCCCATTAGTTATTTTTCCCCTAAAGACACAAAAAGTGAGGTATTAACCAAAGTATTACATTGAAGTGAAAATGATTAATATATTTCTAGGATTCCAAAAGATTTGTGCTCGGATCAATGAGGAAACTTTTTTCTCTGAATTACATTGTTAGAATTTTAAAGTCCCTTTTTTTCTATAGAATTTTAGATTCTTAGCCAAATTATGGAGTAAAATTGCATTTATCCTGAAAATATGCTACTCACAAATAAATCTCTGTAAAATATGTAATATATTAACACACCTAAGTGACTTTTTATTATTTGAAAATTATGAAAGACATCATTAATCTAATTTTCTTAATAAACCTTCCATTATATTAAAACATGAATATATCTTAATACATCTTCCATTCCAATTGAATGACAACATTCAAAAGGATCATTTATTACCACAGCAGAAACAGATGTAATTAAGCACATCTCCAAGTTATTTCACAAACACTCTCAGTTACACAAAATAAAATAAGAAAAGGTTTTAATCTTCTAGGTCATTTTACCAACTCAAATATTTTCCACTCTTGTATAATCTAATCACAAATTAAATAACTCTAGTGAAATCTCATTAAAGAAATTGCTCTTCTGTATAATTATACATGTCTAATTGCTATTACCTCTAGAAAATATTTTCTGTTTCAAGTACATTGAATAGATATTAAGTACTTCCATCTCACCTTCTGAATTACTTTTAAAAGAAGGAAATTAAAAACAAGATTATCTACCTGTTGAAATTAAAATGAAATAGCAATTAATGGATTCCTTCTTTGTAATCTTAATAATATTATTTGAGTTGTTTCACTAACAAAGAAGTTTCAAGAATTGTAACTATAATTATTTCATTTTTGTTATTTAATATGAAGTATTTCTAAAGTATGCTCAAGACTACAATATCAAAATGTACAGGGTATAGGTATAGATAAACTTTTTAAATGGATTTATTTTTCTAAAAGAGAATTTATAAAAATTACAAAATTTTTATACTGATCCATGTGAAGTTTCTGACATTTGACATCTGACATTTTATTATCTATAAACCATCACTCTCATGATTCAACCCAACATGATAAAAACTTATTATTGTTATTTATGTAACATTTTATAATTTCATGATTCTTTCCTATATCTTTAATTTTCTCTTCTGTTACAATACCTGTGTTTCCTTTGTTTTTATTACTCTTATAATTAATTTTTCTAACAACTTAATAAGAGTATACAATAGAATAAGTACTTTGCATACATTAACCTGTTTAAAATTATGTATAGTCCTATAGTCAGAAATTTTTATCTCCACTTAACAGATGTGAAAACTGAGGCAAAGAGGATTAAGTATATCCCCGATTCACACAACTCCTCAATAGTAAATTCTTGATATAAACTAATTATCTAGCCTCACAGACATTTTTTTTAGTCATTCCCATCTGTTGACTTCATTTTTTAAGATACTCCTCTAAATTGTAGTGATTTCTCAATGTGTCTTTTGCAAGGATATCAATTATTCCTTTTAGCACTATTTTAATTTCTGCTCTGACATTTACTCGCTTGCTCAATTGCTATTTCTCAGAGTCAGACTTTCATATGTAGTTTTCTATTCATCTTGTCTTGACTTAAGGTATATGTACACTGTGTCTATCTGGGCCTCTTTGTTGTTTGTGTTATTTATTTTAGTAAAAAGACATCTACCACAGTGGAAGAGGTTTTGAACCCATGAAATATTGCACAAGTTTTCTTTTATGGATTTAGCAGTGTCAGCTCTTGCATGGCCCATTTCAGCCAGCTTCCAAATCATTGACCGCATAACTCTCATAGCCCTTCTTTACTTCTAAAACTAGTTTTGCCAATGATCAGTGTATAAATGAAATTGTCAAAACTTCTTCTAATTTTTCATAGTCCTTATTGTTTTCTCAGAAATGGTTGTTAATGTTGATCCTCATAATTGCTTCAGTTTGCTGGCTATCTAATATAATATTGACTATATTTCTAGTAGTGATAGAGATGCTTACTGTTATTTTTTATATTTCCTGTGATTACTTAGCTTCTGAAAAGGGGTTGGTGTACTAGTTGTCCGATATTTGATAACTGTGGGAAGAATGGTCTACTAGATGATGTTACCAGAACACCTGTCATTCTTCCCTGCATAGTGTATAAGACACTTGGATGTTCCTGCTTCCCAGATTATTCCATTTAGCCTGATATAAACCACTAACTCAAGGTCACCATTTCCTTCCATATATGTTCATCCAGACCATTTATCCTGCATGACTCCAATCATCTCTAAAGCACAGTTCTTCTCATATACTGCATGATTTTATTCAGAAGACTCAATTAAATTCCCTAGATTTGGAGGTGTGGTACAAAAAATATGCTCATATAATTTTGTGTTGCCATATAAAGGCTTATAAAATGTAATAATATCAGTTCCAACTTACCCTGGTTTTTTAAACTAACATAGAGAGGTGAACAGAAATGATATGGTCTTATTATCCAATAAAATTCTTACAACAATAACTGCATTTATGAAGCACCTGCTATAAGAAAAAAAAGACTATGTTAAGTGTTTTTAACATAAATTTTTGCATTACATTTTTCAACAAACTAAGGTATAGGTCCTGTATTTTTTTCCCTGTAGTTAGATGAAGAAACTGCACAAAGCTAGAACAGGGACAGATCTTAGTAGAAACATAACATAAACCTAAGATGTCCTGTTTCATAATGCACAGCTTTTCTACTCTGCTATCTGTTAAATAAATTTTATTTATAGAAATAATAAGAAAGTGATGTTTGCCTATGACACTAATCATAAAAATTGTAGCCATTAGATAAGAAGCTAGAGGCAAATGCTTTGAGGCAGGGCTGACTTACATTCACTTTGGCTCCAATTTATATATTGTGTAATATGTTCTTGGGCAACTGACCTCACCTTTGTATGGTGGAGGACAAGGTTGGTTCTTCAACCTCCACTTTGTTTTGAAGACTAAATAAAGAAAAGAAAATAAATTCTAGCATAATATCTAACACATAGTAGCTACTCAATTTAAGATAATTTAATAGGTTAGTGCTTATAACTTAGTAGTATTCATTCCTTATTTCCTTTATGTAGATGACCCAGGCTGGACATCTACATTTTTAGGAACATGTAGTACTCCAATTCTATTTTAAATCATTAAGAAATTACAAATCAAGTAAGTAAGTGGTCATTAGTGTCAATATAAGTAAAATTTTGTCAATAGAATAACTAAAGGATGGCAAGAAGTATTTGCAATGGCAAAAATATCCTATAAAAATAAATACACAAGATTTTTACTTAAGTATTTTACTAAGTTACACCATTGATGCAACAATTTTCCTATCCTGCCAATAAATTCTATTTACCTGTAATATTAGTATTGCATACTTAATAACTCATAAAATATTTTAGAAATTTATCAGCACAACAGATTCTTGTGATGTCAAAATAAACAGGAGCAGAAAATCTTTTTGGACAATACATCCTGAATTCATAACCTTCAGGTAAAATGTACATACCTGACAGGACTCTCAGTGATAAGCAATCTGGGAAACTTGGCTGCTTTCTCTTTTTGGAATAAAGATGAAGAGAAGTAAGGTAGAATAATAATAAGCAATATATCTGGAAGTGAACTTTGTGTCACATCCTCCTATCCTAGCTCTGAAAGCATGCATCTGTAAGATCCTATCCTAGACTAATGGAATCAGAATTCCAGATATGTGTTCTTGTACCTATAATTTCTTTTAAGCTCCAAATGCAATTTTCCTGGTAACCTGGATTAAGAACCTGTTACTGAAATCTCTGTGGTGTTCTGTGATTCATTCCTAATTTTGCCATTTCTATGTAACATGGTATATTGAAAACTGACAGCATTAACTCTTGCTTCAAAGGGTTGTTATAATAATTAATACACCTAAAATTGACTGGAGTGTGACAGACCCTTAATTAAAAAATCCATCATGTCCCTATAGAGAGAAAGATATATAGATGTAGAAGTAGCTATATATAGAAGATATATATATATATATATATATATAGATAGATAGATAGATAGATAGATAGATATAGATATAGATATATATATAGATATATAGATATATAGATATAGATATATAGATAGATAGATACATATATAGACCTATTTCTCTCTTGAATACTTACAATGAAGGCACCCCTTTGTTGTGGGTCCTAGGGAAATCAGTTGGAACATCTAACAAGATTGACCATTTACCTTTTGTGTTCTATCTGTCACCACATACAATGCTGCCATATTTTTGTCTGCATGTGTTGCCAGTAAAGAACAAATAGTGATCTAACAGTGATAGGTCAAAAATAATCAGTTATTGTGCACAGTTTCATAGTTATTTCTTACCACAAGTTATGAGGTGATCCTGCAGTAGTAAATGCATGGTTCCTGCCTCTTATTCCCCCCTGTCTCATTCAGCTCACAAGATTGCAGTGGCCAATGAAGAACATCATGGACCAGATCATTTCAGTGTCTCATAAGCTCAGAGGGAAGAGTTTATTGTAAGGCTATATAATTCACTGGATAACAATACTGGAGAAAGCTGTAACTAGGATATGGACAGGTTAACATAAATCTTTTAACTCTTGAGAAATCGATAGTGGTTTCATTTCAGGCATCTAGGCATCAAATTAATTCCTGTTAGATTAAGAACATGAATGAACCTGAATGAATGGAGCCATGCACTCATCTAGTAAGAGATTTTCAAACATGGATAGATTCTATTATTATAGAATTGGCATTTATGTGTATCTCTAAAGCACAGAGATTGAAATACATCAAAAGAAAAATTCCTAAGGAATATGCCAATATAAAACTATGCCTGATAATATGTTTGTTACAATATAATGATAGAATAATGAAGAAAACATTTGAAAATAGAAAAATTATTAATTAAATGTATGACTAAATGATGATGTAAGTCTTTCAATGGAAATTATTTCTCATTTACCCAATAGTGCTGAGACTTCTTATTAGAGAACTCAGGTGACATATGATACCCCCAACACACACTCTATTCTAGCTTTATTTCATTGTGCATAGCTGCTCCAATTGCCTTATGACCTCTTCTAGAGGTAGCATTCATTCTCTTAGCAGCTGGGAATGCTGACAGATGCATGTTCTCTGATGAATCTCACACGGGAGATTCCTTACAGAATCTTGAGGATGGTAGTGTAAAAGGTGGCTCTTTTGCCCCAGTGCAGAACAATTCTGAAAAGTAATCTCCTCTCCAGAGTTTCTCATAGGATTTGTTGAGGTGTGATAATGGCTTCTCACTTAAGTTGTTTCTGTGCCCACCCAGCTCCCCAATGTATTTGGCATTCCCCAATAGATTTCTGAAAAACAAATTTCTCTCTCTCTCTCTCTCAGACTCTGCTACTCACAGGACAGATGACCACCTTGCCTGCAGCTGACACCTAAAACCTCCTGCACCAATGCAACTTCCACTCCTTTGTTCCTCTAACTTTGGGATCCAGCCACTGGAACTTGGAGATCATGGCCTAAGTATTTTTTCAAGTATATATTTCAAAGCAAATTTGAATTTAAGTTTTATAGGGCCAATAATTTAGGAGGATCTTTAATTAGAAACCAAAATTGGTTTATCTTAGTTGGATAGATAAACTTCAAGTTCAGGCCCTAAAATCAGTTCATCTAGTCAATTTTAATGAGTTGTAATTGATCTTTCTACCTCAATTATTTTCCCTTTTCAATCAATCTAATGCTGTGCTGAAATATAATAATCTTTTAATACAAAACTTGGTAGCTCAAAAACTTGCAATGATCCCAAGTTGTCCCAGAAGTAAAAATTAAGAAAACTTTTTATTATTGGACCCAACTAAACTTCTCTAGACTCATATCTATTTTGTTTTATATTTTTTTCTTACTAATAACTCTTCTCTATTTCTAATTTTATGTTTTTTGTTTCTTCAAAATGTTTCCCCCATCTTCAAATGTGTAAATGTAACTTAACTATCTGCTAAGTGCAGAGCAAATGATATTGTAATTTTGCAAACTTGCTGTATCTCTCTGGCCGTGGTGAACTTTTACTTTAAGTAACGTATTTCATATTTATGTTTTCCTTATTATCACATTCTGCCTTTTATCATGACAATAGGAGCCATGGCTATTATCTTTGCATCTTCTACTATGACTTCTCATAAAATCCATTCAAAAGCATTTGTAAATAAATCATGGAAAGTGTGCAGACAAAGAACAAAATATCCTGCTTCACATAATTTTTTCTACTTATGAAACACTCTTGAATATTACCAAATTGTTTCAACAAGTCATTATATATATTTTATCCTTATTAACAAAAGCTGTTTTACTTTTGCTGACTAAACTCCACGTACTGAGTACAAATTAATAATAGTTCTCTTCAATATACCACAGCAAGCATCCCATAAGGGAATAGTCCTAACAATATCTATGGCTATGTCCTATCACATGAGCTAAGATAGAGATGTCACATTGCTGATGTTAAAACAAATCAATCAAATTTATTTATGGACTTGGAGTTTACTTTGGCATACAAACAATCCAACTTCAGTTGGGCCTGATTAGGAAACATACAATGGCTTGACAGAGTACATTTTAACTTCAAGAATATAAGATTTATATTTAATGACTTCTATTTTCAGTTTTGTAAAGGAAAAATGAAAGCTATTTTCACAGTTGTTGCTTCTGTGAAAACTGCAGAAACAAGGAAAAAAAGTGAAATTCAGCACTTTTTTTGTTAGCCAGTTATTTTCATTTGAACTTTTATAATTGTTATTATTACTATTACTGTTGTTTTCATAAGGAAACTCTTGCTTAGCATTTTTTTCATATCATCTTATACTATTTAACCATAATGTGATAGCTGGAGAGGAGAAAGAGTGCTTACATTTTAAAAGGATAATAATAATTATTATATATACTGTAGATATAGATCCCTTAAATTTTGCCTCCAAAAATAAAGTGATCTTTTGCATTAACTTTAAAAAAGAGAATAATTTATGGTAAAGTAGGCATGGCCCTAACCATCAGGTTTTTTCATGATGATCTTCCTTAAGTTTCACAAGTAACTTAGAAAATAGGTATATAGGACCAAGTTAATACCACTGGTATGAAGTATACATAAGCTTTTGTTTTAATCAGCTTTTGCATTGCTATAACCAAAAGACATGCCAAGAAAAATTAAAAGGAGAAAAAGTTTATTTTGGCTCATGGTTTCAAAGGTCTTAGTTTATAAACAGCTGACTCCTTTGCTCTGGGTTCACAGTGAGGCAGACCATCATGGCAGAAGGGTGTGGCAGAGGAAAGCAACTTAGAATATGGGCAATCAGGAAGAAGAGAGAGACCTCTGCTCAGCAGGAACAAAATATAAATCTTGAAGTCATGCCCCAATGACTCAGCTTTCCCAACCACACCTTACCTGCCTACAGTTACCACTCAGTTAATCCATATCAGTGAATTAATCCAGTGGTTAGGTTGAAGCTTTCATAATCTAATCATTTCACGTCTGAACATTTTTCATTGTCTCACTCATGAGATTTTTTAGATACTTCATATCTAGACCATAACAATTTTATAACCATAGCAAATTTATTTCAGGGTATATATGCACAATCTCTATGCATGTTGTCTTTTGGAAAGCTAAATATTGAAGGAAAATCTGATTTATACCCATGGTTTTTGAAATCTAGATAACAAATAATCAATGGTATTGATTATGATTTAATCAATGATATTATTTTGATGCATTCTTAAATGAAAAAAAATTATATATCAACATACATGTTTATCTTACAAATAAGAAATGGACTGCCACTTAAATAAAGGAAAAGTTGATTTGTTTTGTACTATATAAATAAATCAATTACACATTTTCTAGAGCAAGAAAAAAAAGGATTTCTGAATGCAAAACAAACCATTTGTAGATATTCAATTTTGATCATTTATGTCATTAATACCTGAAATATTCATACAACCATATATGGAAATGAAAATGCATAGTAGGGAAACTTAATTAAGTGGTTACACATATTTAAGAGTTCGGCTATAGAGCAATCTGATATTCACTATTTTTGACTTACAGTGAGATACAGAAACAAGTTAAACTCAGGCCACAATAAGGTGAGATTTAAACAATATTTGTCACTGACCATCATTTTCTCATCCCTAGGCTGACCTCTAACATAGGGGATACACAGTGCTATCAATGTCTTCGTAATGCTCTTTTCTTATCTGGACGATTTCCATAGCCTCCTAATTCTTTTCAATTGTACCCTTGCTCCCTATTTTTACCCAATATTCACAGTGGTATTCTAAACTATAACTCAAGTCATATAATTCTACTCTGCTCAAAGTCCCCTGAAGGATTGCTTGTAGCTATAAAGGAGTAGTTTACATTGGACTAATATTTCTACTAATAACATAAATAAAATGTTTCCAAGAAAAGAAAAATATGTTGTGGTGAGTCCTCTGTTTGCCATACATTTTTTTTTCTACTTAAAATAATTTTCTAATTCTACTGTGAGGCATAAGAGCCAATCAGCAGCACCCCACACTTGTGGCAGCCTCACTGGGAAAGAAAGACAAAAATTGGAGTTTAGAGTCACCAACTCAAGAATAATGGATAAAGGTGTTGAATAAGATCCTCATAAAGTTTGTCAAACATTGTGTATGTAATTTCCCATTTCTGATTCCTAAGCTGTACATGCAGGTGGTGAGAGATTTTTATGCTTATTAAAGAAGTTGAATCTATCACCAAGGGAAAACAAGTCTTGCAAAGCAAACTGTAGGCCCAGATGGCTTCACCACGGAAATACTCGTTACTGTGATGCTCTCTTCCATGCAGTAGAGTTGTCACCGAGAAGTGTCTGAGGAGCTAAGGATGATGTCTTCCAGAGCTGTTTCTGGGACGTGTTGCCATGTGAGTGTGAATGTTACCCGATGGAACAGAAGCAACCATCCCATTCCACTCCTTTCCTCCTCCTTTGCATGTCCTGTCCCATAAGTACTATGCAGTTCAAAGTCAATTTTGGATGTCATGAGCTTTGGCTGCCTGAAACTCTGTCAGCTAAGCATCTGAATATGTTTGTGGAGAAGATACATATCTATTCTTCCTGTTATGGTTTGATATGAGGTGTCTCTAAATAAGCTCATGTGATAAACAATACAGGAATATTCAGGGTTGAAATGATTAGATTATGAGAGCTGTGACCAGATCAGTGGACTAATCCATCTGATGGATTAATGATTTTAATTGATTATTGAGTGGTAACTGTAGGCAGGTTGTTATGGCTGGAGGAAGTAGGTAACTGGTGTGCCCTTAAAGATTATCATTTGTCATTGACTTCTTGCTCATTCTCTCTCTCTCTCTCTCTCTCTCTCTCTCTCTCTCTCTCTCTCTCTCTCTCTCTCTCTCTTGTTCCTGGTTGCATGAGCTGAGAAGCCTTCATCTGCCACAGCCACACCCTTCTGCCATGATGTTCTGCTTCATCTTAGGTCCAGAACAATGGCTCAGCTGACCATGAACTAAACCTCTGAAACTGTGAGTCCCTAATGAATGTTTCTTCCTGCAAAACATTCTGATTAGATTTTTTTTGGTCACAGCTGCAGAAAGCTGATCAGCACCTTGCCCTTCTGGAGTCATCTCAGAACATTATGTGAGCTATAATTAAAATTTCATCACCTTATCTACTGAAATTAAAATACATATTATGATTAATTTTACCCTTATCAATATAGAAAGATTCAATTGACAAGAAGGCAAATGACCAGTGAAATAATGATTGAAGTTATGATAATTGCTAGGAGACAACTACAGAAACTGATAGAGGTATGAATAGATTGGTGACCTAAAGAGGTGAGGTGACAACCAGTCAATAAATGAGACAAAACATACAGAACAACATGTAGGGTCTTGATATAAATAGTTGAGTCAAAAAATAACTGATTAACCAAATACCTGTGTTAATTGCTTTGAAAATAACAGAAGTATGTCAGGGATGGGCCTGAGCATAATCTTAAGCACAGGAAGGAAAGATGAAAATAGTATTCATCCATGACTCAAGATTTCCTGAAAGGACAGGGAGTCACGAGACGGGCAGGCATCAGTGAAGGATGAGTCTCAAGGAGCAGAAACAGATGGAGAGTTACAGAGGAAGTCAGAGTCAGGGAGAAAGGAAATGAAGGACATCAAGCTTTGCAATATAGTAGGAGATGTCGTTAGCTAAAGCCAGGAAGCTAGGGAGACTGAGAAGCCCAATGAAGACCAGAAACAGATACAAGATGGTATATAGAGAGATAAGTGATAGAGCAATGAATAACAATATATGAACCTAAAAGACAACACCTACTAAAGCTAAAGACCAGTGATGAAGCCAAATAATCAAGAGTAAAAAGTAAGCAGAGACAGCAATTCAAAATCAGTGAAGCAACAGAGGTAGGAGGAGAGGGAATTTTGAACTTTTTGGAACATTGACTGTATAAGAATATTAAGCACATACGTTACACAGCAGGAAGAGAATCTGCAATACTACTGGCTTGTGAGGGATTTAAAAAATCAAGTTAGGGATTTAGACACATTATATTAAAAGAAAAGTTCAAGGAAAAAAATATATATACACATATGAATAAAGATTCATGTTGTGGATTCCAAACAGAATACTTTGAGGGATAATTAGAGTACATGACTGTAAGAAGATATTTTTGGAGAAGGAAAGTTTCATACAGAGGATTATGGTATGGATCTGAAACACACACCCCTTCCCATCCCCACCCCCACCTTGCCAAATCTCAAGTGCCCAGAAATGGGACTTTTAGAAAATAATTGAATGGTGAGGACTTTAATCAATTATTTAATCCATTTGAAGGATTATAATTTGAAGGGATATTGGAAGGCGGGGCCTAGTCATCACAGGAAGTAGGTTGTTGAAGGTGTGCCCTGCTAGGGCTATACTGTCCCTCCTTCTTCACTGTCATGAGCTGAGCAGATTTCCTCTGCAACATCTTTTCACCATGATGTTTCTGCCTTGAATACTGCTGACCATACACTGAACCTCTGAAACCATAAGCCAAAATAAATCTTTCCTCCTCTACATTGTTCTTATTAGGTATTTTGGTCACAGTCACATAAAGCTAACACAGAGATTTGGAAAAGAGGAAAGGAGTAGACAGAAGAAATTTCCAGAGATAAAAGTGAACTTTCTGAGAGCAGAAGAAAATACATCACAGTTCTGGGAAAGTATTTCTTCAAGCTTCCTTGAAATGCCCTGATTGCAGCCCTCTCTGCCTGTCCAAGACTACACAGGGTCAAGTAGGAAGAGAAGTAGAAATAGAAGGTCAGTGTCTTCTTTACATTCCCAGGTGTACCTTGACTGGCATTCTCATTGGAAAGGATGAGAAAGATAATCTACATTAAAAAGAAATCACTGTTGTCTGATAAATGCCTCATCTGCTTGTACAAAATGGTTTATCCTTGTCAAAATGGGTGCTGGTTTCCTGCAGCCATGGAATCTAAAAGCAGCACAAACCAAACAACTTTTTTGTCCCACCCAACTCCCACAATGAAAAAAAAAAAAACAGAAGAAAAGGAAACTGTCAATATTTGTTCATTTTGTAAAAGCTCTACAAGCCCTGTCCTCTCAGAAGCCAGAGGACAGCATCCATCCACCCCTCCAAATCAGCAACTTTAAATACATTTCAGTCATTGCCTGTAATTGAGTTTAGCTGCAGAAAATCCTTCAGGTGACCTACACTCCATCTTTTACTTTTTCTTTAATACAATTGGTGAGAAGTAAACTATTCCTTCTGAATTGCCAGAATAAGAAGAAAGTTTTTTTAAAAAATCAAAGCACAAACAAGCAAAAAAAAAAGTGTCAAAGCCATCTGTTTGGGGAATATAAGAACTGATGCAGGTAAATAATTAAAACAGTTTAAGTGGCCTTTTTTTCCATACGAAAAGAAAATTTCAGGACCACATGGTATAAAAATATCACATATGGAAACTAATTAAAACCTTGTCAGAGGAAGCTTGTCATCTCTTATACTTCAGTAAATGAACAAGAAAATCAGACAAGATTGCTATAGAAATGGGTAAAATATAATTTGCTTTGAAATTTGTCATTATTAAAAAAATTATATTGGGAACTCAAATTGCATATTATAGAAATGTTTCTGTTGTTGGGGTCACAAATAATTTCAAATTTGGACTAAGCTCATCCAAAATTTTCTAAATTGAAAAATTTCAATGTGCTGTCATGTGACATCTCATCAAAAAATAAAAATAAAGGTTCATGCCATGAAATAATCAGTATAAGAACTTAAAGCAAAGTCTCACAAGCAAAAAAAGAAGAAGAAGAAGAAGAAGAAAGAAAAGGATTTTCATCCCAGAGATGTGGAAAAAGGGACAAGGTGCCTCTGAGCTGAGAATCAGGTAATCTACACTCCACTTGGCTGATTTAGTCTTTCTATTTTATGGTCAGCCAAGATTTGCCATTGTCACTACACCAACCATGAGCCTAGTGTGATATTTTACTTGTTCATTCCATTCCGCTTCCATACACATTGTTAAATCTATTCCATAAGACTGATTTAGCAAGATGCAAATTTTTATTACCCATCCTGTCTGTATCACACATGAAAAAACACCCTCAACATATATATGTGCTTTCTTCCTCCTTTGCATTGTTGAATTTAGATGTATTTCATGTATTCTTAAAGACAAGCCTGTAAATAATTATTCTCACC